AGCGTACCTATATTTAATCAATTTGTTTACGCGGCCATTCAATCGATCAACACGGTACCAATTAAACTAAGATAAAAGCTCTCTGTATCGCATCTCCAACAAATCGTAAATGTCTGAAAGGGCTACTTACAGCATTTATAGCAATGAGAATAGGCATTGGTAATACTTACAATCTTGTACACAAAAAATAACTTTCCGATCCGCTACATAAAGTCGTAATTCCATTGAAATAGAAGATTTAGTTTTTTTTTTATATAATTATTTTATATTTGATGGGCCGACGTTTGACCACTATCTCGCCTGGTGGTAAACGATGATGCGGTCTACGATGGAGCGGCATTGGTTTTATATTTTATCCTAGCTAATTCTTAATTCACTTTAGTAAAATGTAATCACCATTATTGGCTTAATTTTTTACTCATTAAACAATACAGAATGTCAATAATAAGTACTTTTTGAAGTCAGTTAAAATCACACTAAGTCCATACTTACCGCCAGCAAAATCGAGCAGCTGTAGTTGGGTTATTTTGTATATTTATTTATGGCTACACTAGCTGTTACCCGCTACTTTGTCCGCGTGGAATATGAATATAGAACATAACTTTTTTTGGTTTAATTAGTAGAGATTAGCAAATACAAACAGACAAACAGACAGACATAAATAGTAATCAATGTTATTTTGGTATGTGTACCGTATGTATATTCATATGCATGTTTTAAATAGTGGTTATTTTAGTATTACAAACAGACACTCCAAATTTATTTATCTGGATAGTTGATGAACATGAAATAACTTACATTGGGTGATATTTACATCTTTCACGATTCGCTTCACGTGTTTAGGAATAAAGTAGTAAAAACATTTAAGTTGTGTTAGATTGTTTATAATTATTATTGTTATTTTATTTTTGTTTGCTTTGATTTTTTTTTTGTTTTGTTTTGTTTTTAGCCATGATCGTCCCACTGCAGGGCAAAGGCCTCCCTACTCTCCTTCCACTCCTCTCTATGTAAAGCTTTTTGCGGCCAATCCTTGTCATAGATGTCTAGTTCGTCCCGCCATCTCCTTTTGGGCCTGCCGCGACGTCTACTGACGTTGATTTTTTTTGTCGTTCTTTATATAATTGTACATGGAATTTATGATCCCGTGAGTGTTGTGTACATCTGTTACTGGTATGCATATCAGACTTTTTAATATTTTGTATTCAACTGTGTAGTGTACAATATGTATACTGTTGATGTACCTTTATATAATAAATAAATAAATAAATAAATTTATCAGCACTATACTAAACTTACTTTCATATCACAAATGCATTTCTACAACTTAAATTAAACCAATTATAAACCAAGTGATATAACCTCCTTGCTACCAACCTCCAGGGATCACTACTTAACAGAGTTGTCAAGAACCTCTAGTGATTATTGTCCCTATGTTAACCTGGTAACTGCTACGTACTTGACAGTTTACCCCCTGGAGACCTGGGTAATTAATAATAACTGTTCTGCGTAACCCTTTGTTTACAAAACGTGGGTTGAAGTCAGTGAGTTACTTTATAGCTGGTGTTTAGACTGGTCTATAAGAATATGCGGTTTAGAATGAGTTGGTTTTGTTATAGCGACCTCATAGAGGGATTTCTCAAGATTCCTATGAGATAAGGTCAACAAATTTTTGCCATCTACAACATTGTCATATTTCTGGTCAATGATCTTGACTCACACAGAAATGCTCGTGGTATAATGTGCTCCTCTGCCTACCCCTTCGGGGATAAGAGGCGTGATGTTATGTTATTTTATTTTACTTTAAGTTTACAAGTTGATTGTTCTTTTCTTCTGCATTTTACTCATTTAATTTCCAACGAAAACGACTACTTATGTATAAATGCAGAAAAATATTTCAATAATAAATTTTAAATGAAAATGTTCAACATTCTACATAGGAAATAAGAACTAATAACACTTCATATTAATGTTCTGGACATAAAAATTCGTTGCAGCATAACTTCCCTTTCAGACATGATTTACGAGCATCCGGAGATTTTTCCAAATGCCCAGAGAGACGTGAAATGCGAGGAATTCAAATGTTAACCCCGACGAGGTCATATGGACATTTTTTATCTGAAACCGTCTGAAAATATCTGTCTGTTACTCCTTCTAATATATCTCTGATAATTAATTTAATAATTCTGAACCTTGAATAGTACCTACTGTATTTCTATTGAGATTCTAATATTATATTAAACACAAGATATTTATATTAATTTACATACTGCTACTGATACAAAATAGTTAATGGTTTATAAGAAAATTTACAAAAAAAATCAACAGTATTGTTAATTAAATGTTAAGTGTGAGAGAGCCATGCTTCAGCACGAATGGGCCGGCTCAACCGCAGTGATACTACGGCCTCACAGAAAACCGACGTGAAGCAACGCTTGCGTTGTGTTTCGTCGTGTGAGTGATGTTACCGGAGGCCCAATTACCCTCCCCTTCCCCAAGTCCCCAAATCCTGAATCCCCAACGATCATCAAACTCCTAATCCCCAAAAAGCTGGTAACGCACTTGTAACGCCTCTGGTGTTCCAGGTGTCCATAGGCGAAGCCGATTGCTTACTCGTGATCCGTCTGCGCGTTTACCGGCTTATGCCATAAAAAAAAGAAAGTCGTATTAAGAAATTACAAAATCAGTATTAAACGTCAAAACCCGATTTGTTGGCAAGAAAAGCAAGACGAGCGGACCAACCAATCAACGGCTATCAATTTCGAGAACTACAAAATGATTGGCAGGTTACTGATCTCAAACAAAGAGCATTCAATCAATGCAAATGATCGTCCAATAATATGGATGCCTGTATATTGTACATCGGTTTGATATTGCTTTTAAATTCGTATTTTATTTTGGCACAGCGTTCTAATTGTGGTTTGTTAATTACATCGTAGTGTTAACATTCACACGATAATGATGTTAACATTCAATGCCATGCTGGCCGAGTATCAATTAAATAAGTACTAGCTGTGCCCGCGACTTTGTCCGCGTGGAATACTGATTCACAGCTCCTCCCCCATAGATAATAGCGTGATATGAATATGTAGCCTATATGTTGAACCGACCTGTTAGTAATATTCATGCAAAATTTGAAGTAAATCTATGTAGTACTTTTTGAGTTTAACCCGGACATACATACAAAAATCTAAAAACCATATTTTTGGATTTGATATCGAATGCAGATTACGGCGCAACCATTCGTTTAAAAAAAGATTCAATGTATAGTTTTCACTTTCCTACGATTTTATTATTTGTATGTATGGATAGGAAGATAGATAAATATCAATCTTTCAATCGTCGATTTCTGAAATAGCAAGGGATTTTCCAACCTTAAACTGTTTAACAATAGTACGGATTCATTTGTACTTATTTTTTTTAATAGGTGAGCTCGTCTTCTTTCATGGAAACAAACAGTGAGTCGACAAATAGTGATGATGAACTCAAAGTCAAAGCATTTATTTCAATTAAACCATAATTTGGTCCTTCTGAAACGTCAATAAATACAAAATAAATAATAGTCTGTCAGTCTGTCCGTTGACAGGGTATGAAAATTAAGTTCAGCTAATCGCGAGATAATGGCGCACAAACATACATACATACATTCAGGTCAAACTGACAACTTTCTTTCTTTTATTTTTTTCTAAGTCGGTCGGAAAATAAAAATCCTTCAACAATACGTTAAGAACTAATTACAGTAGTTTCCAAAGGTAATTATCAAGTAAAACAGAACAAATAATTAGAAGCGCGGTATTAATGCGCAGTGGGAATTAAAACAGTAGATGGCTCCGTGGCTCCGTGGCTTCGTGGCTGTATAGCTAACGACCGACCAGCTGGTGGCAGGTGGCTCGCCAATTAAAACACGCTAATTTGCAATCCTCATAATTGTTGTGCAAGCTTTTGTTTAGTAAAGGAGATAATTACTGTGTCAGGAATTTTGTTGCTTAAGTTCTAGACAATATGCCTATATATAATTGGGTATTTGCCTTAATCAAAAATAAATTATTTCGATTGTTCAATAAAATGAAATATAAAAAATAATCACACTTTCATTAATTGATTTTATGATTTAAAAAAAAATAAGTATGCTGTTTGACGATAAATACGTGACGTCACAATATACAAAGTCGTACAAAATTCATAGAAAACTGTCGTTTTTGACAGTTCGTAAAAAGTATTGAATTTGACTAATTGGCAAGTACCCAATTATACACAGGCTTATTGTCCAATTAAACATCAATTAGATTAGAATAGTTATCTATTAAACAATATAATATTAAAATGTAGATCTATACAATTATATTGTTTGTTAGTAATATCTAGGTACTATAGAGGTATAGCCAGTAATAAATGACCACGTAAATATAGGTATCTATACGAGTATAAAGCTACACCATTTTCCCACTCATAAGAATTACAAAATGTTGCTTTAAGATTAAATATGTGTTGTAAATAGAATTTATTAAATACTCAAACCTTTAACGACCCAAACCAGAAACAAAAGTAGAACCTGTTCATACTCCAAATGGGTTTCGAAAGATTCATAGCTATGAATTAACCACCATCAACCACACAATAGTCGTCGTGGTGGCCCGGAGGTTCAAGACGCCCGTTTCTCGTGCACAAGGATTCGAAACCTGCGAACAGCAAAGTACCTATGGGACATTTTCCGAATTATAATGTAGTACTTCCTAAAATTATTTAGACACCACTGACAAACGGTGAAGGAAAACATCGTGAAGAAACCTCGGCTTATAATTTCTAATTATAAGTTTAAAATTGCCAACCCGCAATGAGCAAGCGTTGTGATTAATACTCAAACCTTCTCCGTACGAGAAAAGGCGTATGGTCAGCCGTGGCCACTTATAGGCTGTTGATGAGGATGATGATGAACCACACAATTAAAAACAAACTCAACCACTACAAAACTAACGTTCACTATCTCTTGTTTCAGACTTTTTGCGTGGTATCGAAGCGTTTCCGAAAGAACTATATTCACCGGTTCACGGCCACCAGGTCGTTGTTCTGGTACTCCCCGTGGTCTCCAGTCCGAAGAGCTTGCGTCTACCTCTCCACCAACCAGTACTTCGATTACTTTGTCATGGCTACCATACTGCTCAACTGTGTCTTCCTCGCCATGTCGGAGACTATCGAAGAGGCTGAGTAAGTATTTTTAATTATTTTTCTTTTGTTGTTTGGCGTTGTCTCAGCCTATACCAATGGGAGGCTTACTGACGAAATGATAATGATCTTAGTAAAAGTTTTTTTCGTAGTTTTAAGATAGTAGCCGCATAGTTTGGTGTTGGACAACACCAAACTATATTTATATTTCCACCTACCTCGATTTAGTATAATGTAGAGTTTTTAAAGTCATTGCAGGGACTATTTTTTGTTATGGTTACACATCGATACACATGGACTACTCATATACAGACTCACAACACTACGAAATTTCTGCGAAAATGATCCGAATATTGTTTCATTAATTATTCACTACATTAACCTTAGCCATTGGATGACGGTACAAAATCCAATCTCATTTATTTTAACACTTTAAAAGTGTGGGAGAGCCATCCTTCGGCACGAATGGGCCGGCTCGACTGGAGTTGTACCACGGCCTCACAGAAAACCGACGTGAAACTACGCTTGCTATACGTGATCCGTCTCCTCGTTTACTGCCTTATGCTATAAAAAAGTTAACTAAAAATTACGAGTTACTCACATACTCACACACACACAAACCTCTACTAGTGTCTCTACTATTCTACTAGTAGACTGCGCGACATCGCCGCGACCGCGCGGGCTGCTCATGAGGAAGAATCCCTTTGTGGCTCGAAATTAGTAGAGCTTTTCTCAATACATTTACGTGAGTAACTCGTAATTTTTAATTAATTCAGCATTCCTCAATATCGTTATTATAAAAACTTTAATAGTTAAGAATTGAACTGATTATTTCAAAATTGTAACAGAAACATTGAGCTTTCACCACTTGAACAAGAGATGGAAGTAATGTATTTATCCTGGTCAAATTACCGAACATTTTAATAAAGGCTCCACATAGGAAGCTTCCAATATCCGGCCTTTGTACTCTGTCAAGCACTTGTTGATCGAAATTGACGTCTGTACCGGTTAATTTGGAATATTTCAGATATTTTAGACTGATTGACATTTTGAACTGTGTCGATATGATGTAACTTTGAGTTCATTTATGTTATTGAATTGTTCTTTACAAAATTATCTGAGTAATTAAACGTTGTAATTAGTTCGGTGTGGGTTATAAACTTGAATGTTTGTCTATTTAAGCCTTAAAAGGCTTTTTTATCAGGGATAATCTTCTCCCGCCTTGGGTTAGGCGAGAGTAAGTGTCAGACTCTTACTGACTAAAAACCACCCCGTTCCTACTCCTACTCTTCGAGTCGGCACCCTGGCAACCGGTTAGGCTTTCCGCCGTTCGCCTTAAAATGCTAGTCTACATACATAGTCTGATACATCAAGCGAGTAAATTGCATGATCTACCATACCCTTCTCGGAAACATATTAATCCCACCAAAACATTCTGTAAAAAACTAGCCAAGTCACGATGGAGCTGCTAGTTTATCTCTAAAAAGTAATGAAATATAACAAAGTCGTGCCAAGTCTAAGGTTCCTTATTGCGATTTCGTTATTATTATAGTTAATGTTGTATGACTTTGCCATTGAAGGGTACACAAGGGTACAACACCAGGTGCTCCATGACACCATTGCACCAATCTGTCGCCGGAACCGCTACCCATTGTGAAAATTGCCACTTGGAAAACATGGTGTTATCACTGTTAGACTTGACTTGGTTTTTAAGTATGCAATTATAGCTTACTGAATGACGAACATTTCTGCGTTCTGGTCTTATCCTGAGGTTCTCAAATAGGGGCCTGAAAATGTGGCGAAATGGTTCCTGTAAAAGATGGTACTGCTGTGTTTGCTTAGCTCTCGACTTGTTGGGGGCACGGTAGTGCCCCCAGATTTATTCTGATTGTTTCTTGTGCTGAACTATATGAGTAACTAGCTTCGGACCGCTACTTCGTACGCGCAATCCCGTTTTGTCCCGTTCCCTTTCTGTCATAAGAACCTTCTCCTGACAATACAAACACAACGAAAAAAGAATTAGTGAAATCGGTTCAGCAATTCACGCGTGATGCCGTGACCAAGGGAAAAAGGGATTAATTTTTATTTATATAAGATAGTATATAAGCTATCCACATAGATAACACACCTTCTCCAGAAAACTTAGTTAAAAAACGAATCATACAAAATGCAAATTCAATACATGATACTTGCAACCAAAGTATATCGTGCACCAAACTTACAAATTCCAGTTTAAACTAGTTACGAAATTATGCGCGAATATATGTAGGTACACAAGTACTGTCGCTAACAAAATCAGGTAGTCGGATCGGTGACGGCTGAATCAATCACGTTATTCGCTTGCTTGCGTTTACGTCAACGTTATATATGATCTCGTTAGTGTACCCGACTGTACACGTACGTAGAAAACACATGTCTACTATATGGACGTAGTAATTTACTGCTTACTAGTCCATGCTTAGTGTTATATGCTCGATTGTTTGTTTGTTTCTACTTCTGTTTCGTTGAAGTGACGCCTGAATACTGAAAATTAACTCAATTTTAGTTTTTACTCAAATATCGTGCCATCTCTGTCATTTTAAAAAGAATTTGTAGTGACAGAATTAGGATGATGGCGGGGCATGAAAATTAAAAATCTAATTAGTCAGTAAGTTAGGTAATTAATAAATATTAGACACGTATTTTTTTCATTTTGTTGTATAAAATAATACTTAAATAAAACGAATCAAAGTGGGGGCTAAAACGTCATTTCTACGTATACAATGTACATACATAGAAGTGGCGTCACGCAACATTTCAAATCAATATATTATCGTCGAAAGTTTTCGATCCTGTAAGAAAATACAAAATACGTGTCTAAAGATTTAAAATAATCTACCAGACGGACATTAAAATAAAAATTAGGCATCTACCCTACTAAAATTTAGTGACGTTTGAATATTTGCGCATTAGTATCGTATTTGTGATCTTTGATCAATTAGAATGATTAAGATTACACCGATTTGATTTGTATACTGTAGGAAATTGTTGGCAAATAAATTAGTTTGCAACAAAATTCCTAAAAAAAAGTAAAAAAACGAATTGGTCTGTTTTGTAAATCGAATTACTAAGTAACCAATGGGAACGTTTCGAATAGAATTGTGAGATAATTATTCATGAAAGGGGCACTAAAATCCGAATAGGATATCCGGGATTGGGTCGATGGGTCACGGTGGAAACTTGTGGGAGCCGGTGCAAACCGGCGGCCAATGAATGCTAAACGTTATGCACTTTAATACCGGTCTAGGTAGCTCTGCTCTCGCGTTTAAATGAATTGAGGACCTCAGCAAAATCAAAATTGATCGTTGTAAATTTTAGTGATATATAAATTCTTCAAAGATATTAATTTCGTACTATTTTTCAAGTATGGTATAGGGATATAAAGTTCGTGTCGCGTAAAAACGACAATTCACAATTTATAAAACTGATAAAAATAACAAGATAACCGTAAAACTTTCTCAATATTATTACTTTACTAATTATATAAAAACACTTCACTCCGGCACCAAAAAGACCTTCAGACACTGAACTTTAAGATTACCTAAATAAACACAACACAATACCTACAATACCCTGAAATAAACTGAAACATGCAAATGACGCTCAACCCAACAAAGGTCGTGACACACGACTCCGTAATCGTTCCATCAGTGACGTATGGCTCTCCCGACGATACAAACTCCTGACTACGTGTAATTCAAGACGTAAGTGAAAACAAACTTGGTGACATTCTGTTACACACTGTATAAAATGGTGTCATTCTATTACGCCACCCTGTGTAAGTAAGTGATAGTTTGTGAACTGTGTTAAAGTTGGTGACAGTTTGTTACAAGGTATTAAATGTTGTCACGCTATTAAAAGATATGAATTAAGTAAATAATTAATTATGTAATTTTGCGTAGGTTGTTAAACCGCAGTGGTATTTAGCTATGTGATTTTATGAAGAAAAGAAAAATAGCAGTAATTGTGGTTTTTTAAGCCACTGATTTTTAAGTGCGGGAGAGCCATGTTTGGGCACTATTGGGCCTCACAGAAAACCGACGTGAAGCAACGTTTGCATTGTGTTTCGTCGTGTTAGTGAGGTGACCGGAAGCCTAATTACTCCCCCCCCCCCTCTTCACCTATCTCCCCAATCCCTGAATCCCCAACAATCCTCAAACTCTTAATCCCCAAAAGGCCTATAGGCGACGCCGATTGCTTGCCATCAGGTCATCCGGATTATCACAAAAAAAAACCGTGGAATATTATAAAATGGGGATGATGACAGGGTATGAAAATTAAAAATATAATTAGTCCGTAAGTTGGGTAATTAAAAAACATTAGACACGTATTTTTTTATTTTGTCGTATAATAAAACAATACTTAGATAAAACGAATCAATGTTTAGGAGTGGGGGCTAAAACGTCATTTCTTAGTATAAAATGTACTGAGAAGTGACGTCACGCGACATTTCAAATCAATATATCTTCGAAACTATTTGTTTCCGTAAGAAAATAAAAAATACGTGTCTAATGTTTTTAAATAATCTACCAGACGGACATTAAAATAAAAATTAGTCGTCTACCCTATTGTGGTGGAAATGAACCGCTACAAAATAGACATTGATTTATGGTTGATAATAATTATATGGGGTAATTTCACGTTCCTTTTAAAACTGTGCTTCAACCGCTTTGTGAGGGCGGATAACCGCACGAAGGAAAAAGGGAGTGTGGTCTTAGCATAAGGTAGGAGGATGAAAACCATCAGTTATGCAGTGTACGTCGGTACGTCCCCTGGAAGTGACTCCACGTGAGCTGACTACGAAAAGAATGCGGTTGAAAGCTGTTATTATAACATAGCTTCACGCTTCCTCGTATTGGAGGGTATAGTTGAAATGGTATAGTGTGAAGTACTTTTTCAATAGGATGTCGGACATATCGGTATAAGGAAAAAAGGGGTTGACCAAGTTAAAAAGTAATGGAGGCGCTAGATTATTGTAAATTGTGGGATTAATGAGTAAGAGA